TACTAAGAGAATAAACAAAACCAAAAGGTAGTTCCTTGAAAATTCAGGAAATTCTAAAATGAGAAGTGAAATTGGGGATATTACTACCAATCTTGCAGAAATAAGATTATAAGAGAACTCTATGAACACTTGTATGCCAACAAATTAGATAATCTAGATGAAACAGATATTTTAAAAGGACAGAAACCAAAAGTGACTTAAGAAGAAATAGAATGTCTGAATAGATCTATAAGGATATTTAGCTAGTAATCAAAAATTTCCCCCACACAGAAAAAGCCCAAGATTTAAGCAAACTGGGGTATAATATATGTACTTATGGAAATGTCACAATATAACTATATACATAACTATCATATACTAATAAAAATGTTTTTAAAAAGAAAAGAAAGAGTCCCAGACCAAATGACTTCATTGGCTAATTCTTCCCAATGTTTAAAGAAGAATTAACACCAACTTTCACAAACTCATAAAAGAATAGGAAATATTTCCTGACTTGGTGCATATTCTTCTGACACCAAATCTAGATAAGGTATCACAAGAAAACTACAATATCCCTTAGGAATATAGATGCAAAAGTCCTTAACAAGACCAACAAACTAAATCCCAGAAGATAAAAGAAGGACAAAACATCATGACCAAGTGGAATTTATTCTAAGAATTCAAAATTGGTTCAACATACAAATATCAATCAATACAGTACACCATAGTAACAGAATAAAAGACAAAAACCACATGATCATCTCAATAGATACAGAAAAATTATTTGATAACATTTAATACCCTTTATAGTAAAAACATTTAAACTAGAAAAGAAGGGAATTTCTGTTACTTGGTACAGGGCAACTATGAAAAAATCTGTAGAGAAACATAGAGCTAATATCACACTTAACCCTCAAAGACTGAGAACTTTCCCCCCTAAGAACAGAAGTAAGACAAGGGCATTGCTTTTAGCACTCTATTCAACACTGTGCCAGTGGCTCTAGTCAGAGAAAATAAGACAGTAAAATAAAAGGCTCTAGCCTGGAAATGAAGAAGCAAAACTACCTCGTTGTGGTGATGAGTAATTTATTGTGTCACCTGACTTAGCTGAGGGATAACTAGGTTATTGGTAAAAAACAAAACAAAACAGTATTTCTGTATGTGTCAGTGAGGGTGTTTATGAGCAGCTAGCACTTGAATTAGTAGACTAAGTAGAGAAGATCACGCTCTCCAATGTTAGTGGACATCACGCAGTCCATTGAGGGCCTAAATAGAACAAAAAGGCAGAAGGATGAATTTGCTGTCTTCCTGTGTTGGGTTATACATCTTCTCCTGCCTTTGGGTATAAGAGCTTCTGGCTCTGGTCGTATACCAGCAGGCATGCTTTCCCTGTTCTTTCCCACAGTTGTAGGCTTTCAAACTCATAGAATTATGACATTGGCTTTTGTGGTTCTCTAGCCAGCAGATAGCAGATTGTGGGAGTCCTTATCCTCCATACCACATGAACCAATTCCTACAATAAATAAATACTGGTCCTATTTCTCTCGACAACCCTAACACACTTGTGATATCAAAAGCTCTATAAAGTGCTCCCTTCGGCAGCACATACACTAAAAAAAAAAAAAAAAATTAAAAAAATAAAGTTCTAAAAAGAACCCACAAAATACTATTAGAAGTCATAAATGAACACAGCAAGGTTGTAGGATACAAGATCTGTTTGCAAAATCAGTTGTGTTGCTATACACTAGCAATGAACAATCTGAAAATGACATTAAGAAAGTTACTTCATTCACAGTAGCATAATAAATCTTAGGGAGAAATTTAAACAAAGACGTACATGACTTACACACTAAAAACTTAAAAATATTGAGGAAAGAAATTAAAGACCTAAGTAAAACACTCATCAGTTGAAAGACTTATTATTAAGGTAGCAACAGTCCCTTAATCTACAGATTCAATGTAATCCTTGTTAAAATTCCAGTTGCCATTTTCTGCAGAAATAGAGATGCTGATCCTAAAATTCAAATGGAAATGCAAAGGACCTACAAAAGCCAAAAACAGTCTTGAAAAGGAGCAAAGATAGAGGACTCACTTCTCAATTTAAAAACTTACTACAAACTACTGTAATGAAGACAATATAGTACTGGCATAAGGATAGGCATATAGGCCAATGGAATAGAACTGAGAGTCCAGAAATAAGCCCATATATCTATGGTCAATTGATTTTTAAATAGGAATGCCAAGATCATTCAGCAAATGGTGCTGAGATACCAGATACCTACATGTAAAGGAATGAATTCAGACCCTTGCCTTAACCATATGCAAAAAATCTAAATATCAGTGCTAAAAGTATAAACTTTTTGGAAGGAAACTTTTTGCAAATCTGTGTCATCTTGGATTAGGCAACAGTTTCTTAGATATGATATCAAAAGCACAAGGAACCAAATTTTAAAAAATAGATTGATTGGACGCCATAAAATTAAAAGCTTTTGTGCATCAGAAACGTTATCAAGAAAGTAAAAACACAGCCCATAGAATGGGAGAAAATATTTGAATCTGATAAAGATCTAGTATCCATAATATGCAAAGAACTCCTAAATAAAAAGACATTAAAAAAAAAGGGGGAAAGGATTTGAAAAAATATTCTTCCAAAGAAGAGATAAAATGGCTGATTAGCCCATGAAAAGATGCTCAACATCATCAGTCATTAGGGAAATGCCAATCAAAACCATGAGATACCACATCACACCCACTAGGGATGGCAATAATTGAAAAGTCAAAGTGTCATTGAGGATATATGGAGAATTAGAGCCTCACATTGCTGATGGGAATATAAAATAGTATAGCACTGTGGAAAATAGTTTGCTAATTCCTCAAAAAGTTAAACATAAGAGTATCATATAACCCAGAAATTCCATTCTTAGCTGTATACTAGCAAAAATGAAAACGTGGTATACCCATACAGTGGAATAGTATTTGGTCATAAAAGCAAGTAAAATGTTTATACACACTAAAATATAGATGAACCTTGAAAGCATTGTTCCAAGTGAAAGAAGTCTAGATACTAAAGACCATATATACTCTGTGTCTATTTATATGCAATGTCCAGAATAGGCAAATTCAGAGATGGAAAGTAGCATCAATCTCAGAAAAGAAGAATTAGAATGACTGTTAACAAATACAGACTTTATTTCTTGGATGATGAAAATGTCCTGGAATTAGATAGGGTGATGGCTATTTTACCAGATGCCACAAGGAGGAGGTCTACAAAAGGGAGGAGGCCTTACCTGGTCCTTGGGTACTAAGTTTGTGATATTGTCACAAAAAGAATTTTAGACACATCAAGATAGAGATCAAGCAAGGTTATTAGTAAAGCAAAGCAAACAAATGATAGGAAGATAGAACACAGCCCGGACACCGGTTCAGGCATATCCATCTGATACAATGGTGTGATGAGTGCTCTAACATCAGGGTTATTTATGATGAAAGTATGTTGGGGTTTGGCTCAGATTCATCTTAGGTAAGTGCTCCTCTTTGTTCTTACACCTGGTATGTTTAACCATTCTTGCTGTTACACTATCTTATCAATTGGGCTCAAAGAATTTAAGGTTGGCCTGCTCATTAAATTTGAGTCACTATGTCATAGGTGTTTGAGCAGTCCTTCAAACAAAGGATGGGTCCTGCCAGATGCTCCCTTCAAAACAGGTATCCATCCTTGAAATAAGTGTTTTCCTTTGTAGGCACTTTTTGTGCCCAGAGGAGTCATTCTTTCAGGAGTTTTTCCCCCAGGATAAGTGTCTTTCTTTATTATTCTTGCTCAGTTCCCAGAGCATACTAATGATTTGGACAAGCAGTCAAGGCCAGAGGCAGAGAACTACTCTTTTTCCTTTTTACTAAATGTTGCAGCTTTTGATGTTTAAAGCAAAGAAAGCAGTATCTGTTTTTAAATCAAGCTGTTTGTTAGTTTTGAACTTATCTGTGAATTCCTGGTTGCTGTTTCCCATACCTCATTTTCCCTGATCTATCCTGCTTCAGTTACACAACCTGGTAAATATACTAAAGACTAAAATTTAGACTTAAAAATTGTGAGTTTTATGATACATGAATTTTACTACAATTTAAAATGTTTTAAAATCATGGTTGGAGGAAGGTCAGAATGGGGTAATAGATTGGGGAGTCATTGGTAGAGGTCATTATTTAAGGTATGGGAGTGAATACTCTATAGGAGTGCTGTTCAATAGAAGTTTCCTGTAATGACACAAATGTTCTGGAGCTATGCTGTACAACAAATATGTAAAAATACTAAGTAGCATGTGTAACAGTCAGGAAAGCTGTAAACCAAATTGTTAACCATGCTTCTTTCTGGATTTGGGAGTGCAGGCTTAGAGTAACTCCTTAATCTCTCCATATTTATGCCTTTTCCCTTTAACATGATTGTAACAGACTTTGTTTTGTCCTCAAAAAGTAAAATAAATAGTGACATTCACGACCACCTGCTGTACACTGGGGTTGGGGGCATTCCCTGTGTATTCTATGTGAATGTCCCCTGGAACACTGAGGACAATGTTAATGGTACTCCTGGTGACACTGGTTATAGGAAAACATGTTTGGAAAGCTTTTCCTACACCCTCAACAATGGTAAATGCCTTTCACTTCTTCAAGAAAAGCACCCTCAAATTCATCAACTTCAGTGTTTAGACATCTTGAAAATGACCTTAGAACAATGCAGAGCTAAAGTTTTCTTTGTTGTTATCAATTCAATAGAATAGCCACAACATCCCTGTGTGACTTTGGAATGTGAAAGAATGGCAGCAGAAAAGATCTCCTTCCAGTACCCCTCCCCAACCCAGTTTTTACAACATCAAATAACCACACAAAAGAAAAGAGATTTCTGTCTTAGAAATGGCGTGAGACTCCCCATGGCTTTGTGTGGGGCTAACTTTTCTGGTGGCCAACTCTTTTTCTGGTGGTCTCACTTTTTGGAGGGCCAACTGTAAAGAAGTCCATGTTTTTATCATTAGTGGTGTGGCACATCAAAAAGCTGACTGGAGCAGCATCCATCAGAAGATATGTCAGCTCCTGATTCCACTGCGCACTTCCATGCCCTTCTACAATTCAGAAGAAGAAAGGCAGCACGGCCTGCAGCAGCTGCTGAAACGACAGGTAGGTACTGTAGGACTTCAGTTATAGGGTTAGCTCACGGGTACAGCAAAACTACCCAGGACAAGGCAGAACTGGTTAGATCACTAAATTGTAACCTCAGTGAAGGCAGAGGCTTTGTCTCTATGTGTTCAATCCTATTCAGTCAGATATTTTTTACATGCTGACTGAATAGTTATTGTATTAGTTTAGGAGAGTGGCCATGGCAAGATGTCACAGATTGGGTGATCCTGGTTTATTATGACTACCTTCTTGCTGTGTCCGTGTATGGTCCTCTGTGTTCACACATTCTCTCACTGGTATCCAGTTTCCTCCTCTTATAAAGACACTGATTGGAGTAAGTTAAAGTCCACCTAATGGGCTCATTTTAAAGGCCCTATCTCCAAATACTACAACATCCTGAGAGAGTAGGGGTTATGGCTTTAACACATGACTTTGGGGGGACATAGTCCAGTCATAGCATCCACATATGCCAAGTAATAAGAAGCTTAAAATGATGTAAAGAATAAACTAGTGAATAAATAAAGGAGATTGGAACCTAGCTCAGTGGTTCATGCCTGTAATCCCAGCACTCAGGAAGCTGAGGTAGGAGAATTGTGAGATATAGGCCAGCCTGGGCTGCACAGCAAGACCCTGTCTCAAACAACAAAAACAAACAAAAAGCAAAATAAGGGGAATTAGCAAAACTAGCACCTATTATAGCATTGATAGCATCTCAAATATTAGTTTAAAAATTAGCCCTTTATAAGTCAAAAATCTCTGAGCTCCAAGTTTATTAATCTTACTATTATGACACCTTGATAGTAGCCTGAGAAAAATGCAGAGTTAAAGTTGTTTCTGCTGGGCGCTGGTGGCCCATGTCTGTAATCCTAGCTACTTGGGAGGCCAGCCCTGGCAAACAGTTCACAAGACCTATCTCCAAAATCAGCAGAGCAAAATGGACTGGAGGTGTGGCTCAAGCAGTAGAGTGCCTGCTTTGCAAGCATAAAGCCCTGAATTCAAATCCAGTTCCACCAAAAAAAGAAGAAAAAAAAGTTGTTTCTGATACTAGCTAAGCAGAGTAATTTTAGAAGGATACAGTAGATGTTTCTCTCAAAATTAAGGCAACTAGAAAGGCAGATAGTTTTAGATTGTCCCAAGACATCTCTGGCTTTGGTAGTCTTATAAGAACTGTAAGAGCAACACACATTTACGCATCTGACAGCTGTATAGTGCACACTCATATCTGCCGAGCACTGAACTAAGATAAAACCACACATGTTCCTGGACCTTGAGGAGCTCACAGTCCAGAGTTTGCCTTTCTATGTCACTGGTTTTGGGTATAGTGTAGATAGGCTCACTATATGCTTTCAACTAGATCATTAGATGTTGGCCTTATCTCCAGTTGTATCTATGTCCACTTTTGCCTTTTACCTTTAGACTTTCTTACATGGTCTATTTCTGTCTTCCACAGAAGCACTTGATTGAATTCTGCTACACTGTTGCCCAGAAATATCTTTTTGAAGGAAAACACGAAGATGCTGTCCCAGCTGCTTTGCACTCCCTTCGCTTCCGCAGGAATGTGCATGGCCTGAGTTCAGTAGAGCTTGTGCCTGCTTACTTGCTGTTAGCTGAGGCCAGCCTTGGTGAGTGGATTGACTTAAGACTCCCAGGAACCCCTAAGAAGTGATATGTTGAAAAATTAGAAATAAGGGCAAAATAGTTTCTGCTGGGTATTGAGGGGTTGGGGGAGAGAGGGAGGGGGCGGAGTGGGTGGTAAGGGAGGGGGTGGGGGCAGGGGGGAGAAATGAACCAGCTTTGTAGGCACATATGAATAATAAAAGAAAAAAAAAACAAAAACAAAAAACAAGAAGTGATATGTTGAGTCTTACCAATGACCAAAGAGTCTAGCCTTGTCAGAAACACCAAGATACCTTTTGTGGAAGAGAAAGGTGGCTGTGAAGTTAGGCACAAGGTAAAAGGAGATACCACACTTTTGGCTACAACTGACAGAATCTATTCAAGCTGGCCTGTGCAAAAGGAGGAAATTTCTCAGGATGCTGAAGGGTCCAAAGGGAGCTGAGGCTTTATGAGGCACTGGGATTGAAATGCTGTCAGAAAGCATGGCTGTGCTATCAGTCTCTCTTGGGCCTTGTTTGCCATCTTTTCTCTCTGGGCAACTGCTTCATCTCCCCTGTCAGCAGACCAGATTTTAATACATTATTCTCACTGCAGAAGACAGCTATCCCCAAATGTTAGATGTAGTTCTTGATCATTTACATGTCCTCTAGGAGCAAGTTGGATAATAGCAATTAATTAGCATCTGATTTGCAACTACAAATTCCTAGAAGATAGAATTTTGTTGGCCCAGCTTGAATGTGAAATCTACCTTTGTTCCCTGAGGCCAGGATCAGAAATTTGGGAAGTCGCTGCTATAGATAGGGAAGGCAATTCTGAGAGTGTGGAGCACAGGCTTAGCAGACATCCATAAGCTGCCTACTGCAAGAGAAGAATTAACATTTTGAGGGGAATTATAATTCTTGAGCATTGAGTTTTAGGCACTGAACCACTACTTTATGCCTTTAATAACCATTATTTAAAACATATGTTTTAAAGCTAGGGCTGTAGCTCAGTGGTAGAGCACTTGCCAAGCTGTGCAAGGCCCTGGGTTCAATTCCCATCACTGAAAAAAAAGTGAAGTAAAACTGTTGGAAGTATAGCATAAACACCTCCACTTTCTGCCAGCCATCTGACTGTCAGTTGCTCACTTGATGCCCTGTCTCTGGAATTCAGTGTATATTTCCTATCAAAGAATTCTCCTCCATTACCACAGTACAACCCCATCTACTAAGAAGATTCCATTCAAGTTTCTCCAGTTTTCCTGATAATATCTTTTTTTTTTTTTTTTTTTTTTGCAGTACTGGGGTTTGAACTCAAGGCCTACACCTTGAACCACTTCACCAGCCCTTTTTTAATGATTTTTTTTTGTTTTCAAGATAGGGTCTCATGAACTATTTGCGTAGGTGGCTTCAAATGGGGATCTTTCTGATCTCTGCCTCCTGAAAAGCTAGGATTACAGGCATGAGCTACCCTTGTCTGGATAATATCTTTATAACCAAAAAAAGTTACATAATCAGAAAAAGTTACAGTTCAGAATCACACTTTTTACTTTGTTGCCATTGCTTTTCCTCTTCTTTCTAGAGTAGTTTTTCCAGCTTTCTTTAGCTTTTAGAGATTATGGATCAAATATTATAAAGCATTTCTCAATTTAAGTTTGTCTGCTGTTTCCTCATGACTGGACTCAGGTTGTGAACTTGGGACAAGAATATCACAGAAGCAGTGTGTTCTTCTCACCCCATCCTATAAGTTGGCACATGTTTTCAATTGTTTCCATTACTGATGTTCATTTTATTTTGTTTTTATCCACAGTCAACAGCAATCAGAAATTCCAAAAGAGAATCCCAGAAATAAGTAATTTATAAGTTTGAAATAACTGTTATTACAGTATATTGTTATAATTGTCCACTTTATTATTAGTTATTATTGTTAATCTCTTGCTGTGCCTGATTTATAAACTATCATAGGCATGTATGTATAGGCAAGATATAGCATATATAGGATTTAGTAGTGTTCACAGTTTCAGACATCCATTGGGGATCTTGGAATTGTGTCCCCTGAAGATAAGAGGGTACTACTATAATAAAATGGTGGTTGTTTTAAGTCATTAAAATTTTGAACAGCAATAGATAACTTAATACTAGACCTGCAAAATTTAAGACTAATTTACATTAGATTATTCTGTGGTCATCCCACACCTCTTAAACCATTTAATTGCCTTCCTTCCTTCCCTTTCCTTTTTTAGACTGGGTCTCAACTATATAGCCCAGGCTGGCCTTGGCTTTTAAGTTCTGCTGCTTCCTCCTTCATTAGGATTATAAGCATGTACCACCCCTCCAGGCCTGATCACTTGTCAAATGACACAATCACAGCAATTTAAATATCTTTTTTTTTTTTTTTTGTGGCACTGGGTTTTGAACTCAAGGCCTCCCTCTTGCTAGGCAGGTGTTCTTACCACTTAAGCCACTCAGCCAACCCTTTTTTGTGATTTTTTTATTGTTTTATTATTCATATGTGCATACAAGGCTTGGGTCATTTCTCCCCCCTGCCCCCACCCCCTCCCTTACCACCCACTCCGCCCCCTCCCTCTCCTCCCCATCCCCTCAATACCCGGCAGAAACTATTTTGCCCTTATCTCTAATTTTGTTGAAGAGAGAGTATAAGCAATAATAGGAAGGAACAAGGGTTTTTGCTGGTTGAGATAAGGATAGCTATACAGGGAGTTGACTCACATTAATTTCCTGTGCATGTGTGTTACCTTCTAGGTTAATTCTTTTTGATCTAATCTTTTCTCTAGTTCCTGGTCCCCTTTTCCTATTGGTCTCAGTTGCTTTTAAAGTATCTGCTTTAGTTTCTCTGTGTTAAGGGCAACAAATGCTAGCTAATTTTTTAGGTGTCTTACAGCTACACATCAGACAAAGGACTGATAACTAAAATATATAGGGAACTTAAAAAACTAAATTCTCCCAAAACTAATGAACCAATAAAGAAATGGGCAAGTGAACTAAACAGAACTTTCTCAAAAGAAGAAATTCTGATGGCCAAAAAACACATGAAAAAATGCTCACCATCTCTAGCAATAAAGGAAATGCAAATTAAAACCACACTAAGATTCCACCTCACCCCTGTTAGAATAGCCATCATTAGCAACACCACTAACAACAGGTGTTGGCGAGGATGGGGGGGGGTAAGGAACCCTCTTACACTGTTGGTGGGAATGTAAACTAGTACAACCACTCTGGAAAAAAATTTGGAGGCTACTTAAAAAGCTAAATATTGATCTACCGTTTGATTCAGCAATACCACTCTTGGGGATGTACCCAAAAGACTGTGACACAGGTTACTCCAGAGGCATCTGCACACCCATGTTTATTGCGGCACTATTCACAATAGCCAAGTTATGGAAACAGCCAAGATGCCCCACCACTGACGAATGGATTAAGGAAATGTGGTATCTATACACAATGGAGTTTTATGCAGCCATGAAAAAGAACGAAATGTTATCATTCGCTGGTAAATGGATGGAATTGGAGAACATCATTCTGAGTGAGGTTAGCCTGGCCTAAAAGACCAAAAATCGTATGTTCTCCCTCATATGTGGACATTAGATCAAGGGCAAACACAACAAGGGGATTGGACCTTGTGATGGTTTTTTTCAAGATAGGATATCGTGAACTATTTGCCCGGGACTGGCTTTGAACCTCGATCCTCCTGATCTCTGACTTCTGAGTAACTAGGATTACAGCTGTAAGCCACCAGCACCCAGCTTAGTTTAAAGATCTTAATTGTCTTTATTTGCAGTTCTAGAATCAGGCAGCACTTCAGTCTGTAAAGAAGAACAAGTGTCCCCAATGCTCATCTTAATTACTTTATTAAGGTGGTGTTTGCCAGTCTTCTCTGTCATGTATCTTTCTTGCTTTGCAGTTAATAATTATAATTTTAGTTTTAATTTTATGAGATAGTACTTTGAAACCATAGAAATCTCCCATTCCTTGTCAAATTTTCAATGTATTCATTCATTTATTTATATCAGTACAGACTCTTGGTTTCCTGTTTTATTCAGTGGGTTTTAATCCATTCTTATTATTAATTGAATGCTCAAATGGCCCCTGATTTGGCCAATGATAGCTCCCACTGAAGCTGCATCTCCTTGTTCTTTTCTTTGATCATTTTCCTGTTTTCTGAAACATATCTCCAAGGGGCTCTGATTTCCTCCCATGGAAAAGTAAATTTGGAAGCTAAGCACTGCATACTAGACTTACTCATTGGTATTGAGGTATTACTGCTCCCAGCCTTCTCAGGCAGGCAGAGTTAAGGAACATGTATAAATATAATAATGAATGTGGGTATACATATACATTACTTCTATATTTATTTCTGTGTGTGTGTCTCTCTCTCTCTATATATATATTAATGTGTATCTGACGGGAGTCTATGCCAGTGCATCCAAATCCAGTACAACACCACAGGTTTCAATCTAATTTTATCCCATTCTACATATGTAGTTCCCTTCTCTGACAGTGAGAATGCTGGCTTCCATTTTCATTAATATATTTGTATATTTTATCAATTCCCTGTATGAAATAACTCTCCTTCTCAGACCTTATTCTTTCCCCTGTGGGCTGTGACTCCTCATTCTGGGCTGCCTCTTTTGCGTGGATCCCCTCCTCACTTGCCTGGACTTTCACTCCCCACATCAGGCTGTTTACCTGCAGGAATGCTCTCCTCACACCACTCGGGTCTGACACTCCATTTTGGATTGTCCTTCCTCCATACTGGTAGGAAGAGTATTAGACAAGGAAATACAGCCCGAGCTCTGAATACCTCTTACAGGGACCAGCTGTGAGATTTTGGAAACGTCAACCTGGCCCAAATCTCATCTTTCATTTGATCTGCTGCTCAATAACTGGTCTCCCCATGCCTTCTGTGACCTCTTATCAATCTGGTCTCCACACAAAAATGTGATTCAATAAATTCTTAAAGTAATCTAGAAGCCCTGCTTTTTTTTAGCCTTCCATGAATTCTTCACTTCAGGTCTCTCATTCTCTCTCATATTCTGTCTCTTTAACATTCTCTTCCTCTCTCTCCTTCCCTTCCCCTTTCCCTCCCTCCCTCTGTCTCCCTCTCTCTCTCTTCCATTTACATTGGCCTTCTCTCAATTCCTCAGAGGCATGGGAATGTTTCCTGGTTCTGGAAGGCTCTTTTGTACTCACTTCCTCCATTTCTCCTTCCTTCCCCTTCACCTACTTAGCTTCCAGTTGTCCCTTGGGTCTAGCTCAAGGGTTTCTACCCTTTTGTCTGGAAGCCTTCCCCAATCCCCCAGACTGGGTAGGCTATCTTTTTAATAACTTACTTAGACACCTCCTCCTTTTTTTTGAGCTGTCATATATTCATTGATATGATTATTTAACATCTGTTTCTCCTTCACTAGACAGTAAGCTTAGGGAGAAGTGGTTCTGTGCCCATTCATACTCATCACCAGGTCTTCACACCTGGCACAGTACTCAGTGCGGAGAAGGTGCTCAAAATATACTCTCACAGTGTGACACATAGACTGTGCTGTGTGAGCATGAGCACTTGAATCTGAGTGCTCTTCACAGGATTGTATGGGGATTAAATGAGTTCATGCTCGAATGAAATGAAAGTGCTTTGAAAGCTGGAAAGTGCTGTTATGTGGAAGGTTTTACCACAATGCCAAGTCATTGATTTATACTCTTGCTAACCTTTCTGAAAGCCTAAATAAATCACATTCCTTGTGCACATGCTTCTTTTATACTCTTGCTAACCTTTCTGAAAGCCTAAATAAATCACATTCCTTGTGCACATGCTTCTTTCTGTTCTTGGCTGTTCCTTCAGATTGGGGTGGAAAACCAAGATATTTTGCCTTTACTTTCCTTTTTTTCTTTTTCTGTCTTTCTTTTTTCTTTCTCTTTTTAAGTAAAACTTTGAAATTTTAATCAGCTAGAACTGGCATCTTCTGTAACACAGCAAGGAGAAGCCACCCTACTCATTTTCCACCACTGTTGTCATCAGGACAAAGTTACTTTTTGGCTTGTAGACTGCTTCCTCTTCATATCTTCTCCTTTAATTCAGTGATGTAGGTTTACAACTAGCATAAAAGAATATTTAAATAGGAGCCTGAGAGGCAGGACAAAGAAGAGTAGAAAGTTGATCTATGAGGGGTGTGTGTCCTGATCTCCTGACTATATGTCAGTGCCATCTCTGCTGCAGCATCCAACACACAAAATCATGCACTCCTAGAGTATAAATTTAAATCTAATTCTCTCTTTCTGAAAATCCTCTCATTTTTGCCCACACACAGCCAATTCTTTAGTATGACTTCCTACACCCTCAGTGATCTGCACCTCCATCACGTAGCCTCATTTCCCGCCACTCTTGTCTCTCACACTGTGTTCCAGCCTCACAGACTTTTAGTTTTCCACACATAGCACACCACCTCATGTCTCCACGAGTTTGCACATGCTCTTCCTGGGATGACTTTCCAGACAGAAAACTCCATGCCTCCTCAAAAGCCAGCTCAGACCCAGCTGACATGCTTTTGCCCCTCCAGTGTCCCTCTTCACCTCATTCATAGAATTGCACACTTCCTCTTCTCCACACTCACACCAGATTACAAATACATGTTTTCATGTTGCACACGCAACCTCGTCCATGAGTTTTTCAAGGTGATGATTTTCACTCACCTTTGAATCCTTATCACTCAATGCAAGGCCTGTTACATAAAATGTATTACATTTGCATATAGATTTTAAAAATTGAGGTAAAATTCATATGCCATGAAATTCACCCTTTTAAAGTGGTTTTAGTATAGTCACAAGATTTTGTGACCATTATCACTCTCTAATTCCAGAATACTTTCATCACTTGTAAAAGAAACTCTATAAATGTGAACAGTTGCTCCCTATTAATGCATTCCTACCCACCCTTCTCAGGTCTCTTGCCACCACTATTCTACTTTCTGTGTCTGTGGATTTGCCTATCCTGGACATTTCGTGAGTGAAATCACAATATGTGACCTTTGGTATCTTAGCTTCTTTCACTTGGTATAATATTTTCAAGGCTTATCCATGTTGTAGCATTCTTTTTATGACTCATGGAATGGACATACAACATTTTGCTTGTCCATTCATCAGTTAATGGGCATTTAGGTTGTTTCTGCTTTAGGCTATTACAAATAAGCTGCTATGAACATTCATGTACAGGTTTTTGTGTATCAATAAATATTTGAGTCATTAAAGATCAGGTACAGTGGCTCATGTCTATAATACCAGCTCCTCAGGGAGCAGAGACTGAGGAGCCAGCCAGGACAAAATGTTAGTGAGACCCACCATTTCAATAAATAAACCAGGTGCATGCCTGTGTTGCCAGCTACTCTGAATACATAGGTAGGAAGATTGGAAGATTGTGGCCCAAGTCCAGCCCTGAACAAAAACTTGAGACCTTATCTGAAAAATAGCTAAAGCAAAAAGGGCCAGGGTATGACTTAAGTAGTAGAACACCTGCCTAGAAAGCACAAGGCTCTGAGGCCCTGAGTTCAAATTCTAGTACTGCAAAATTAATTAATTAATAATTGGGTCAATGAGTAAATGAATGAATGTGTGATTAACTCATATTTCATCAGGTGTTATTTGGCTAGAATATAAATTAAAACCTTCTTCACTGCTTTTGGGCAGGTCTGGGCCGGATCATTCAGGCTGAAGAATACCTATCGCAAGCCCAGTGCACAGTCCTCAAGTCAACTGAGTGTAGTAACGCCACTCATTCTTTACTGCATCGGAACCTGGGACTTCTTTATATAGCCAAGAAGAACTATGAGGAAGCCCGTTATCACCTAGCCAATGATGTAAACAAGCTGAATTATCATTCCTGAGAACAGCTCTGTTTACTTTTTTATTTTCTACTAACTGAGCATTTCTGTAAAACTTTCTGTTACATGGTATTAGCAGGAACACATCTTACTACCTGAGTTCAAGCCTTCCACTTCCTAGCTATGCAACCTTGGCCAGGTCACATCTTCCACAGACCCCAGTTGCTCTGAGGATAATAAGGGAGATAGAAAAGCAGACTGGTTAAGAGAAGGGCTTTGCTTCTAGCCCCAGCTTCTAGCCACATAGTCTGGGACAAATTATTTAACCTCATTCATCACTGTAAGACAGAAATCATAAAATAGTCTCTGCCATGTTGGATCATTGCAAAGATTAATAATAGAATAATATATGTCCGTACAGTACTTTGGCTATTTTTAAAAATAACATTGACATTTCTACTTCAGAGTGTGGTTATTAAATTTAAATGAGCTAGATCTATAAGAAAGCACTTATAAACTATAAAGGTCTGTACAAATGTTAGATAGGATCATGAGTATGATAACTGAGCTGTTCTTCCAAAACTGAGGTTTCTATTAGAATTTTGTATTGGAAAATATTTTAAGATAGAAGAGTTCCTGAGCCTGAAATCTGGGTTTAGTTGGGTCATACTTCAGTCTCCATATATGTTGGCTCCTTTTTTAGCCTTTCCATGCAACACTCCCTCTAGTTGCCTGCCACTGCACAGTGCCCATAAATTCATTCTTATGCTGGTTATTCCCCGTGTTCCCATGCCCCAATCCATTCTCTGCCCTACTCTCTGCCCTGGGAGGCTGACCTCCATGAACTACACAATCTGGACTATTGCTGTCTGGCTTTGGTTGGGTTTGAAGGGGAGGCGTGGCAAGGGAATCAAATGTTGGAGGAGAGAGAGGTTGGGGTATTTATTCTGTCTATTGCCTTTTTACCCCACCCCACCTCTGTCAGGGACAGTCAGTGTTCATTCCTCTCTGGTCACACTCCTGTCAAGTGGCTGTCTTCTGAAGTGCTAGTTCTGGCTCGACCCTCTTTCCCTGGTTCTCCCCCTTGCTTTTCAAGGTATAGGGACAGTAATGGTTTCTTGTTGGTGGCTGTCCCTGCTGCTTCAGTAGCCTTGTTGGTTCCTTAACCATTCCCCATCTCATTTCATTAAGCTGTATTCGGGTAATCTCTTGAAGCTGCCATCTGTTTCCGCCTGGACCCTGACTGGTACAATTCCTTATTCGTGTCTTCTCTGTCTTTATGTCCTCCAACAAATTAAGAAGGGCACATTCTGCCTTGAGTTGAACGACACAGTTTGAAATTAGATCAAGCGCATATGCCTAAACCTAGCTTTCTTTTCTTTCTTTCTTTTTTTTTTTTTTTGAGACAGGTCTCTGTAGCCCAGGCTGTCCTTGAACTTGCAGTCCTCATGACCCAGTGTTGGGATTACAGGTGTATGCTACATGCCTGGCCTTTTTTTCTTTAAGTTATAACCTTACTCATATAAACCATCAAATCACCCATTTTAAGCATATAATTCAATGACTTTTAGTACATTTACAGTAGAGTTTTATAAACATTAGAATAATCAAGTTTTGGAATATTTTCTTCACCCCAAAGATTCCTCATAGCCATTTTCAGTCATTTCCTATTCTCAGCTCCAGGCAACTACTTTCTGTCTCTGTAGATTTATCTTTCTGGACATTTTATATAAACAGAGTCACATGTAGAAATTGCATCTGACTTCTTTCACCTTGCATACCTGGTTTGGGATCCATCCATGTTGTTGCATACATCAACAGTTCTTTCATTTCTGAGTAGTATTCCATAAACCATAGCTTGTTTATCTGTTCATCGCTGATCGGCCTTTCACTTATTAGCTATTTGGCTATTGTGAATAATGCTGCAACAAACAATCGTATTTAAGTCTTTGTGTGTACACTTGTTCACATTTCTCTTGGGTAGGTACCTAGAAGAGGACTTGCTGGGTCATATAGTTCCTCTTTAATTACCTTTTTGAGGAACTGCTATTCCAAGCTGTTCCAATGGAGGCTGCCTCATTTTACCTTCCCTCCAGCAATATGTGTGAGTTTCAGTTTCTCCTTATTCTTGCCAACACTTGCAATTTTCTGTCTTTTTGATGATAGCCACCCTATGGGGTATGAAGTGAAATGAAACCATTATGATTTCATTTTGCATTTTCTAATGGAGAAATGTCTATTGAGATCCTTAGTTCAGTGTGCTTACATTGGGCTATTCTTTCCGTTATTCTGAATACAGTCCTTTATAGATATATGGTTTGCAAAGGGAACTCAAGCATTCACTCTCCTTCTTCTCCTGCAATAGATTTATTTTGCCAGTTGTGCATTTGGAACAGAGGACATCAGGACTTCAGGAGGATACTTCCACCTGGCTAATATCTTCTATGACCTTAACAAGTTGGACTTAGCAGACACACTATACACTAAGGTAAGCTAGGTAACATGGTAACTGAGCCTTTACACATAAACCTGGTATCCTATATTTGGAGCCAGGTTATTCATGAGAAACATAACATAGGGAGATGCTCAGACAGGTGAAGTGACTTGGCCAAGCTTACATAGCCTGATTCATGGTATTGCTCCACTTTTCTTTCTTATTTCTTTTGTTTTTTGTAGTACTGGGGTTTGAACTCAGGGCCTCACACTTGCTAGGCAGGTGTTCTGCCACTTGAATCACTCCACCAGCCCTTTTTTATGTTGGGTAGTTTCAAGAAAGGGTATCACAAACTATTTTCCCGGGCTGGCTTCAGACCTTGATCCTCCTGATCTCTGCTTCCTGAGTTGCTAGGATTACAGGTGTGAGCCATTTGTGCCTGGCTTTTCTTTCTATGTCTTTACTACCAAAATAGACTAATCCTTAGCATCCACAGGGTGATTAACAATTACTGACAAATCAGTAAAAGCCAGAGCTTGTGACAGGCTATGTCACACCCAGGGGAGCTAGCTAATGTGGCGCATTGTGGTATGCAACTATGAAGGAGGGCTTTTCGAGGAATACTTATCAATGCCCTGTGAAGGGATCAAGTACATTTAAAACAGAACTTAAAGATTCTGTCTCTATGTGTATATATTTTTAAACTGTTTCCAAGGCTTAAAGTGTCAGTTACATTCATTTAGTGACACCTCGTTTAGCCAGCATCCATCTCTGTGCGTGTGTAAGCCCTCATGGCATGACTGTTGCTTCATATTTTAGACTTAGAAAGGGGCATTTTGGTGGAGCTGAAAAGCAATGAGTTTTGGAGTCAGACCTGGGTTTAAATCTTGGCTATGCTATTTAACAGCTCTTCCTAAAAGCCAAGTGTGATCACAACTTCTCTGAGCCTCAGTTTATTTACACGTAAAATGGGAATAGTAAGAGCATACCCCATGAATGGTAGCCATTGATATTAGACCTTCCAGGGCTGCCCCCAATGAGCTTGCCACATTCCCTTTGCAGCCCATCCCTTGGTATATGCATTTTGGCCAGGCCTGTTTGGGCTTTTAGGGCTACCCCTCTATCCCCAGATGCAGTAAGAGAGGGACCTCCAGACTCAGGACTCCTGGCCACATGTGCCGCACTCCCACCTGGCCTGTCCAACAGCTGAGGTCTGGCCTGCACGTCTGATTGCCGTCTCCTTTCCAAACAGGTCTCAGAGATCTGGCATAAATATTTGGACAATCACTATCAAGTCCTCTCAAAGGATCGCATCCAACAAATAGATTTACTGGGCAGACACTTTGTAAATGACACTGGCTTGGGTAAGTGGCAGTTCTCCCTTGAAAGCATAGCAGTAACTTCATCTACCCAATCTACTAGCCTTGCCTTTAACAGGGAGAGCAGCTGTTTTCATCATGGGAATATCAGTGCCTCCTTCCCCATTTTGCAGATTGGGAGAGATTTTACCAGTGATAGGAAGAATTCAATTCCCTATCATCACAGATAGCCCCAGTGGGCTAATAAGGAGCAGATTTGGAGGAAAAAAGACCCTGTCAGAATCCCTGTGGTTTCTGCAGAGCATGCATTTCTTGTGTGTTATCCCTCTAGGGCATGTAAGACAAAAAAGATTCTTGCATAGAAGTTGCCACTAGTTCTGATGCCTTATTTTCCTCCTTTACGGAACAGTGAGCTCTTCAATGACAGAGCCAAATTCTATTCATCTCCATCCCTAGGCTCAGCAAAGGGCTGAGTGTGGAGTAGCATTCTACACAGGGTCATGCCTCTGAGATCATAGAGATGGGATCTAGTTTCTGCTCTAAAGAGACTTCCAGTACAGATGGTGATACAGAACCTGCGTGCAATAACAAAAGCACATTTCTACAAGCACAGATTATATTACAAGATGAGTCCCAGAATGAAGAAGTGGAGACAGGTGGGTGGTGTTGAAGAAGGGTAATTTTTTGGAGGAAAGAATTTTTAAAAATTAGTAACTTTATTGAGTTTTCTGTCATTATAAAAGTGATTCAGAAAAAAATTTTTAAAAAGTAATTCATGTTATAGCAGAAACCTTGGAAATCATAGATATTCAAAAATAGCCAACCTTAACATTATGGTATATGTGTTTTTTTTTTAAAGCTTATTACTTAAATATGTGCTTTTTTTTTGTTATATTGGGGATTGAACTCAGCACTTGCTAGGCAGGCGCTCTACCATTTGAGCCACTCCACTAGGCCTTTTTTGCACTGGTTATTTTTGAAATAGGGTCTAGTTTTATGCCTGGGTTGGCCTGTTCCATTATCCTCTTATTTGTGCTTCCCCATGTAGCTGGGGTGACAGGTATGAACCACTGCATCCAGGCATTGGTTGACATAGGGGTCTTGCAAATATTTTGCCTGCTGGCCGGGAACCGAGATTTCTGCCTCCCAAGTAGCTAGGATCATAGTCATGAGTCACCACACCTAGCCTAACTGTGCTTTTAAGTACCTGCCCCTCAGTAACTGCTCAAATGGTAAAATAGTGTAGGAATGAAAGCCACTGAGAAAATAGTAAACAGATTCATGTGAGGAAGCCAAAAGACTGCTGTTTAAGCACCTTTGCACTTGGGGAGAGGAAGTAAGCTGCTGCAGCCAAGTGGAAAATGAATTGATCCAGCATCTAGCGGTGACAAATTCTCTGTATTTAGGAGCCCAAGAGCTCTCGAGTTCAGGGTCTGAAAGAGAGAATCCTTAGTGACGTTGCAACTTGTGGAAGAGTAATTTTTAAAGCAGAGCTGGAGAGCTGCCTGCAGCTGTCCCATCTCCTGCTGTGAAGAACTTGCTGAGATGTGTGTTGTTCCCATCAGAGATCCTGTGAGAATGCTGCAACCCAGCAGGTGCCCTACCAGCTGACGGCAGTGATGAGGGCAGGTGCAACTGCCCAGGGATTGTTTCTTTCCTCCCCTTCCAATGCAGATGAAGCTCAGGAAGCAGAAGCCATTCGGATCCTGACTTCGGTCTTGAACATTAGAGAATCTACTTCTGCCAGAGCTCCCCAAAAAACTATCTTTGTTCTGAAAACCTTGGTCATGCTCTACCACCTGATGAATTCTTCAAAGGCAAGTTTTCCCATCCGAAATGGGCGTAGAAGTGATCTGGTTTTTTATTCAGCTGTGTTTTACCCAATCCCACTAGCTGTTGCCCTCAGAGTAAGCCCTCACTCTAAAATAGTTCATATGTCATGACATTTCTCATTCGTTAAGTCCAGCCTATATACCTGTACAATCCTGGAAACCTGGATTGTCTTTCCTCAAGGGAGACTTCCTAGGGTTACAGAGGGGAACTGCATCCAGGGCAGTTTTGGGAAGTCCACATGGCAGGATGTCTCCAGCTGGTCTTTACATATGTAGTAAAGAGCATAGTTCCCTATGTAACTGAGCAGAATTCCCATTGCTGCAGGGATTCGAGCAGTAATAAGCTGCCATGAAATGGTTAAAAATGTAACAGTTTCTCAGTATTTATTTTTTGTCAGTCACTGGCTTATGCACTTTACATAACTGTCATATTTAATTCTCACAGCCTTATAGATAAGGAAATAGGCAGAGAGAAGGTCTAAAATTGCAAAGCCCCACTCCCACTTCTGATGCTTCCAATCTCTGTTTCTTGCTTTATTTTGTTCCTTAGCATGTATCACTGTTGAAGATATTATCATATTTTACTTGTTTGTTGTTTTTTACTCTACTATATTGGAAGTTCCACGAGGAGAGGATTTTCTACCTGTAGTCACAGTACCTGGAATATAGTAGCCATTTAATATGTATGCATATATGTTTGTGTGTGTGCATCTGCACACATATGTATACACACACATATATGTTTTTGTTTTTTGATGGGACTGGGGTTTGAACTCAGGGTTTTGCGCTTACAAAGCAGGTGCTCTATTGCTTGAGCCACACCTCCAGTCCATTTTCCTCTGGTTATTTTGGAGATGGCATCTCACAAACTATTTTCCTATGCTGGCCTCTAACTGTGATCTCCAATATCAGCCTCCCAAACAGTTAAGATTACAGGCACGAGTCACTGGCGCCTAGTTCAATATATATTTTTCTGAAGGAAGGAAGGAAGAAAGAGAGGAAGGAATAGAAAGTCAGAGACTGTCCCAAGATGTCCTGTGGAACCTTTGGCCAAATCAAAACTCTGGGCCATATGCCCCCCAGGACTATCCCAGGATGCTAATTTACTCATAGCACTTATCACTTTTATGACTCTGTACCTTGATCTATAGGGCCATGTTTAAGACCCTACAGAGATCTCACTTTGCTAAGAAGGTGTACCTCTTTTTACCTGGAGTCAGGTGGGTTTTTCTGGTGCCCCTGCTCCACCCAGCACACGTGAGGCTAGAGGCTAGCAGTAAGGGGCCAGTGTGTGTACACTGGGCCCTTTTTACTTTCTACTTGTCTGTAGACAAGAGATATTGTCCAATGTAAATTTGAAAATTCAGTGGAAATATTTTCCTGTTCCCATCCCAGACAGGAGTTAGTGCTCCTAATCCTGGTTTAGTAATAGGAGCTCAGTGGCTGATGTGTGATGATGAGTTCTCTCCCATGTTTCTGGAGTTAAGCACAAATGGAACTTCCCAATATTGTGTTTTCCTGTAATAACTCCCATTTGTCACTGCAATTCTATTTCAGGCAAAGGAATATGCCACAAGAGCCCTCAATCTAGCCAGAGAACAGCTAGATGTCCAAGAGCAAACTGGTATTGAAGAGTTACTATCTCTCATCTCAACTGAAGAAGATCTTCCTGTTACCTAGTGACCTATGAGCTCTGTGTCAGGGCCTAATACATCATACCTCTTACAGCTGCTCTGAGGTACTCTGGGTTGGTGACATTTCCACTCTTTGCCCCTAGGACTGTGAATATAGCTGTGATTTTTATTAGTGTATGTGAGGGAATAGTGTATAGAGCTTTAGGCATAGAAATCAGTAAAACTTTTATCATGACCTTTCACATGGTTTATCATGATTTTGTATGGCTTTGAGTAACATGTAGTCATATCAGTAATATGGAATTTGTTATTAAACTGTAGCTTGTTGTATTTCCCAGAAGTCTGCCAGTTGTTCATGTTTCATAGGACTTTGTCAGGTGAGCAAATAAGGAATGGAGTATAAATGGAGTAAAGTTTCTCTAGTCTACTGGAATTAAGTTAGCATTAATTTGAAGTAGACTGCAATAAAATGTGCATTATAATTCCTAGAGCAATCACTAAGAAAATAACAAGGGGATTAAAATGGTATGCTAGAAAATATCTACTTAAAGCAAAAGAAGGCAGTAAAGGAGGGCTAGAGGAATAAAAAAGACACTAAACATACAGAAAGCAAATAGTAAAATTCAGACAAGAATCAGACACAAGGTCTGTATATGTCAAGGAAGCCCCTATATGTATTGGCTGAGACTCCATTTAAGGGTGGTGTCTGGATAATTTGAAGCAGACATGAGCCATCTATATTGTCTAGTGGACAGGCACTCTGAAAGGCCCCCTTAGATGCAGAGTGCAGAGTCCAGGCCCTGCACTCAGCCGTGCCTGAGTTTAAATCCCAGCTCTCTCACTTAGTAGCTTGTGACCTTAGCCCCTCACCTCCTACCCCCAAAAGTCTCATTGATTATTGTTGTAAAATGGCCCAGATGTGGCCACACCTGTACCAACTTGTGCCATCTTGATGACTTTGGACATTTAGCTCATCATTTTTTTCTCCCTCATCTCCTCTCTAGACTTGCCAAGGCAGTGCTTTTCTTTCTGGGTAGATCTACATCCAGGGAGAAGACATGCAGGTCAAGAGCCTGTCAAAGAATTTATGTTCCTCATTGTAAATTAATTCACTCAGAAACATTTAATAATGTCAGATGGGTCACCCTGCCCTTTCAGGTAAAATCAGTTGGAACTTCCATTTCATACCTTAAAGCATTCTTACACTTCTCCAAGATGGCTATGAAATCCCAGAGGAAAATTGTTTTCCATTCATCTCTTGATCCAATTTTCAGCTTCAATCTAATCTTCTCACTCTCCAGTCTGCATATGTAGCTGTTCCTTCTTTTTAGAGACACAGCTCCCTCATCTTGATTCTCACTCCCTAACCTCAAGTATAAGCCACCTCTTTCAAAGTAACTCTTAATGAAAATTGGAGGGGTAAGAGGAGAATCGACTATTTTTATTACTGTTATTTAGAACTTCTCCATTCTGAAAACATCGTTAAAAATCTATGTAATTAAAGTATAGCTCTTTTTCTCTTTTACCATATCCATTGGTCCTTTTTACTCCTTCCCTTTTCTGTTCTCTGTTCTCTCAAACCCTGAATTCTTATTCATTGATTCTTCTGCTTGAGTATATTACGGAGTTACTGTTTAAATTAAGTTTTTTAAACATGTTGTTTCTATTGACTGATTTTTCTTCTTGGTTATAGGCCATAATTGTCTGCTTTTTCACATGTCTAATAATTTTACCTTTCAGTTTTTCTTCTTTTCTAACACATGCATTTTAAGGTTATAAATTTTCCCTCAAAACACTGTTAGTTGATCCCACATTTTTTGGTTAGCAGTACTAGGGTTTGAACTCAAGGTATTATGCTTGCTAGGCAGGTGCTCCACAACTTGAGCCATGCCCCCAGCCCTTTTTTCTTTAGTTATTTTTCAGGTTGGGTCTCGTGTTTTTGCCTGGGTGGGTCTGATTCATGATCCTCCTACTTATTATACCTACTGCATAGCTGGGATGACAGGTCTATGCCACCATGCCCAGCTTTTTTGTTAAGTTTTTTTTTTCTTTTTGGCATGGCAGCCCCAGTTTGCATTCTGTCTCCTATCACATCCTTGGAATTGGGCCCCATGGAGTGGGTCCAGATAGCTAGGGAGGGGGCTGAGGGACAAAGAGAAGAGAAGATGGGGGTGCAACATCATTCAAAGACAAGTGAAGCCCAGAGCCTCTTGGAGACTCATGTGAGCCAAAGGAGGCTCACCTGGTGGGTGTACTCCTACCCCTGGGCTGTCCTGGCAGAAGAGTGTGATCTATC